TATTTTCATGTATAGTACTATCTTTTGTATATGGTATCATGAAAAAAAGACTTTTCATATTGTAAACCTCCACAGTTCTTCAATATTTCAGTATTTTTTAATAGAATCTATTAAACGAGTCATGACCAGAAACATGTTATTGCTTATTTTCTCTCTTAATCCATTGGATTAAGTATCAAGTATAGTTGATACTATGGTTCAGAGTAGACACGTACCTTTCTTGATACATCTACAAATCTTTAGTCACACTTTCCTTTATTTTTTTCTAATTGGCTGAACACTGGCTTAGTTTGGAGGCATGTTGCCTGTACAGACCTCAAAACAAGTTTCAGGAATGGCCAAGTATAACATTTTATTATAATGTAGTGTTCCTTTGAGAATTTTGCTGCTGTTGTCTTAAAAATGTGAAGGCAAATACCTTTCACTAGTCGGGTGAATTTGAATCTAACATTGCACCTATACTGTTGTTCTGCCCACGTTGCTTGGTGTGATACTGTTGCTGTCGCTAATATGAGGACTTTTCTAGAGTGGTTTAGGTTTTTGGAACCTAAAACAGATATTTATTTTTTTTGTTCTTTCTTCTAAAAATACCTTAGGTTTCTCTTCAAGAAGCTTGAAAATTTTCATAAAAGGTTATGTGGTTTTTTTTTTTGTAGCAGTGTAATTATATAGGAGGCTCTTAAAATAGATCTCTTACACGTGGTTTTTGTCATGTATTATATACAATAACCATGTCCATTTAATTTAAACAGGATAATGTATGTGATTAAAAGCCCTTTCCAGTAGTGCAACACTGATTCAGGCACCAATTCAGCCCTTCCAAGATTTTTGTTAGTTGAAATTAAGTAATTTGGAACTATGACTGAAATACCAGTATTCAAAACAAACTATTGTCTTGCAAACCAAAAAAAAGCTAGAAGGAAACTTAGAGATCAAAGGTACAATTAAACAGTCCTGTGTCAATTTCTATCCCTTTTTTTCCCCGTGCTTGGCCATGAGAAGGTCTTGGACATGCTGAGGATTGGGGAAGGCTTGATTGGACTACCACATAAGACAACAAATCTCCGGGAGTAGTTACTTAACCTTCAGAGGCAGGAGCAACCTGGAATAACAAGGCAAAGTGGCTGAAGCTGTTGGTTTTTCCCTTCCTCAGCTGTAAATTCTGTGGCGTGGTTCTTGTGATGCCTTTAAACACAAAGTTGTTAGATGCATTGTTTGCTGGAAATAGTCCTCTTGCTTTGCCGTGTACCCTCTTGTTCCTTTGTACCGTGCCAAGTGTACCCATCCATCCAAATTGGGGCTCTCTCCATTGCCAGGCACTGCCACTACTAGCAGTGAGTCCTGCCAGCTGTGTGCCAAGTATCCCTTCAGTGTCAGTTGTACTGAAGTCAGCAATTTCTCATACAGTCCCCCTCAGTACTGTGTACTTCGTGGGCAAAGGTACATTGAAGGAGAGGGTTTCTAGTTCTTGTCTGACCAGTAATGCTGATCTTACGCTGTGCTCTTTCTTAGCCTGCCCTTTCTTGAAACAGCAGTGGGTACTGTCTGCCTAGGGCTTGAAATGGCTTATGTGCAGTTGGCTGGTACGTGTCATATTCTGTGGCAGTGCATACTGTAGGTTGTAAGCTGCTGGTGTGATGGAAGCCTCTCTTTGTGGAATACGTGCAGCCATGGAACGTTTTTGCATTTCGTCTTTGTTTAGGATCTGTAGTAATATAAATACTTAGACTATACTACGGAAGGCACAGTGCAGAATGGATGTGATTTTTTATTCCTAGCCATAGCTTTTGAAACATGCTCATGTGCTTTCAGGCTAGTCTGTGTTACTACCTAGTCTTGTTTTTAAAAGTGAGTTCAGTTCTATGATTTCTTTTAGATATAATAAATTATATATTACCTATATTTCTTCTTTAATCTTATTTCTTCTTACTATTTAAGAATTATAATTAATATTTATTAATCATTAATAAACACACGTATTTGTTATTAGTAATAAATGGTAATTATTTAATTGCCCTGTGGATAATGTTTTCCTTCAGAATAAAGAAATGTCTTTAACAAAGGAAAGCGTCTTTTGTTTTTTGTTGCAAGGAATCCTTGAAGTGGTTATTTCCCCTTACAATTGCAGGCTTCATGAATTTCCAGGAATCCTAGGATTTGTTCCTATTGATAGAATAAATTGTTTGCTTTGAGATTTGCCTGTGTTTATAATTATTCTTTTGCGTTTACTGCAGTCTCTAAGTAGATTAAAAATTCTTATTGCCTGGTCTTAAAGGATTGGTAAGTGTGACGCTGACTTACACTGCAGCCTTCTTAAGTTTCAGTGCAAAGACTTCTTTTCTTGTTGTATTTTCTTACACTATTTATAGAAAATATCTTATTAAGAGTAAATATCTGTTAGTATTTTTCAAAATCTGCTACTGTTTGGCAAGTGGGAGGGGGTACTGGCTTTTTGTTTTTCACTTGAAGTTGCCTATCTCATCTTGTAAGACAAGAGTTGGATGGTTCAGTGAGTCCTCAGAGCCACCCTGGTGGTCTAAGCCCCATTGTTTCAGGCACACTGTAAATCTAAAGCAAAACTTTTTTGATTTCTGTCCCAAAGAACTGACTGCTTTCATGAGAACTTTGTGAGTACTTCCAAGAACACAGTTGATGCATACTGTCCCGTGTGAAAGAAGTGACTGTGGATTACATAAATTGATATTCCTAGCCTGCCAAAGAATGAATACCTTCCCTTATTCATGCTGTCATATATCTATACAGCCTTCATTGGCTGGCAGCAGGGAGGCTGGGTTTTGGCTCTTGTAGGCCCCGGAAACATGCTGTGTCTGCATTAATATTTCTATTAAAAAATACATTACAAAATATTTTTTGAGAGAAAGTTAAATATACTTCACATTTGGATACACACTAACTAATATGTGAAGTATGAATTATTTAAATTCACATGTATTTGTAGCTTGTGGATGTTTTAATGGTTATTTAAATAAAAAACAAAAACCAAAATAAACACCACCACCCCCCAACTTTGTAAGAAGACATATACTCAGTTTGCATCTGAAGTGTCAAATTCTTTGAATGTACGTAGTATCTAAGAGGTATTCAACCAGGAGATGCTTCATTTTCTTTCTTCCCCCTTGGATGAAGATGTAATATAGAGCTGTGATAGTTCCATTCAGTGTCTTGCAGAAAGAAATTTTATCAGGGACAGATGGCAAATGGTAATGTTAAGGATTTCTTCCTTAGTGCATGAAGACTTGGGCAGTGCTGCTGTCTAGCAGAGGTTTGGCACAGGTGCTCTTTGGCACACGGTCCCTGCTGTTAACTGAAGTAGAAATGCTTGTAGGTAGACCTGCATGTACAGTTATTTTCACTAGGGTAACTGAGGTAATTTCTGACCTTTGCTGTACAAACTTTAGAACAGGAGACCAATTTTAAGTCACTCATTCTTGTCCCAAAAAACCTTCTTTGCCTTTTCCCTTCTCTCTGTGCAGGAGCCAGTAAAACTGCCAAAGTGCAATTTCCTTCCCTTACATTTTGGGGGAGCACTGGTCCACATGCCCCTCCTCTGCTCTGGCGGATGGGGCCAGCGATCAGCATGTGCCCCTCTATAGAAGTTGTTTTGCTCTGACTGATCAACCTTCAGGAGATCCACTGCTGAGTAAGCTTAACCACTTTCTTGTGCTAGCAGCCTAGCTGCAAACATAATCAGGTGTGCAAAATATGTGGATGTTCTGGTTTTTAATAACTGATATAATCCCACCCTTATGGTCTCTGTACAGAGGACATATACTAGCCAGGCTTCCTCCGTGAGCTCTGGAGATTTATTTTTTCTCTTTTTTGGTCAAGCTTGATCCTGGTGGAACTGATTTGATGCTGTAGTCACCATCAAGCAATCATTTTGATGTTATTTCTGAGAAATTAGAAGATAAAGTAGAAATGTGAGGTAAAGACATTCCTGGATAAAGAGGTGCCAGCGTATTTTGAAAATATCCCACTGGATGAATTTAAGAGAGATTTGTCTTTTTGTCACAAGACTGATATTTTTTTGTTGTTGTTGTTTGCTTGTTTTAACATTTCATATTTTCTAAATTTAACTGTTAAATACAAAATATTAATAGTGATAGTAAGATACATATGAACAAATAAGGTTTGGTTTTTTGAGTTGTAAAAAAGCAAGGTTATAAGTCACTATTGACTCCTGTATCCAAAATGAGCGTCGTTGACAAGACAATATCTAGGCCTAAGGTTTCCCATGATTGAATTTAATAACAAAAGATTCCAAAGATTTATCTGTTTGTACCATCTGTCTAATAATAGTTAGAATTGTGTTCCTTCTATTTTCGGGTGAGAACGAAGACCAAAACATCATTGTCAAGTTTTCTTTAATACTGTCTACATTTTGGGAACAGAATGCTGGGTAGACAGAAGAGTCTGTAGTGAGTTGGAGATCACTTTGATTTTATTTTCAACAAAAATCAATTCAAATACATTATATGATTTTTATACCTTGAATTCTTTTCTATTATAAATAATGTTTAGTTTGGGAGTCTTTCCTTAGTCTTTCAAAGCGTTTCATAACGAAAATACTTTTATGTATTATGTACTAATGGAAAAGTACTGGTGCTATTTCACCAGAACAAAAACAAACAAAGTGAAGGCAAAAGGTGAGTCTTTTCAAATCTCTAGCTCAGTCTAGCTCTAAGAATAATATTAAAGTATGGCTAGTTAGGAATGTCTTGTCTTCTGTTTAGACCTCAGACACATTTTTAGACTGTTGGTTATTCTTCCTCTGGTGTTTATGGAAGCAGTTTGATTTTTAAATGAAATCTGAATTCAGTTGTACTGGGATTTGGTTAGCAGGGGAATGCACTCTGTTTTCAAAAATAGTTCTTTTTGTTGAACTATTTTCTAAAATTTAAGTCAATGTAATGAATGTATTATATATGGAAAGTAATCAAGCAAAACAAGCTTTATAATGTCTTCCATCTTTCTGACAGGTTGTGAAGATGAGAAAAGATGTGAAGAAGGCCAGAGTCCTCACTATTCGCAGACTAACCAGACACATCGGGAAATTAAAGTTGAAAAAGTCAGTTTTTAAATATCAGTGTTCTTGTTTGTGTGTTTATAAGTGAGAGAGTATAGTAAGTGTTTTCTCAAAACAGACAAGTGGGAGAAACATGTATTACATTTAAAACTTAAGGCAGTATAATCCTTAAATTCTATTTGCCTTGTCTTTACACAGGTCTAGTTTTTTACAGGTATTTTTAGGTAGACTAAACATACTAACTGAAAAGCAGTTTCATAAAGCAAAATTGGGATAACTTTTTTAAAAGAGATTCAGTCTGTTGGAAGCTAATCCCAAACAGTTACAGAACCTTTTACAACACGTTTTAAAAGTGTCAGAGTTGGTCTTTTAGGTTATTCTGCTGTTGAACGTGAATTATGCAACATTTTCTCACTGTGGTTGTATGCAAGGTTCTATAGCAAAATATACTGTTCCGTTTGCATGTATATACAGATCAGACTTTTTTTTAATAATTAGTTAGTATTAATTAATATTTGAGTAAATGGTTAATGTTTTCTAGATTATGTTTTTAAGGATGACCAGCCCAAAGAATTGATGACGTGTCTTGTTGGAGATGGTATGAGATCTGTTACTGTTTTTGAAGTGTAAATCGAGTGTATTCTTCTCCTACGATATTAGCAAATAGTGCAAAATAAGAAGCAAGTCCAATGATCTTTTATATTTAAATATTGCTGCTCTTAAAATGTAATTACACTTGAGATATCAGTGTCTCCTATGTATTGTTAATAGGAATTGTAGTTACTGTTTTATAATGAAGTAACGTTTGTTTTTCTTAGTATTCTGGTAAATCCTCAGTGTTTCTTCCTCTGTTCAGAACAGTAGAAGCATTGGATTGTGTTCAACTGTTTGCTAAAATGTGCATTTAACAACAAGGGAATGTAGATGTGGTCATTCTTACAGTATTTTTATTTTGCTACTATTAACCCACAGGGAAATAAAATGAATAAACCAGATTATTTTGTATTTTTTTTAATAAAGACAGTCTTCATTTGCAGGGGTTCAGAAGACTTGAAATTAAAGAACCAAAAACGAGTTGAGAGATTAATAGAAGAAATCCATGCTATGAAGGTAATACCATGTTTACATATTTAAATATTAGAGGCAATTAATTTCAGTATCAAAAAGCTGTGTCTGTTTTCTGGCACTCAATTACTGAAACTTAACTATTTCCAGAGTCATCTTGGTCATTATTGTAACACACCTGGAAAATTAGAAATATTTGCATATTTCCATGTTTTTACTGCATCTGTCAAGGTTTTTGACATCATCAGTAAATACAATTTGAGTCTTAAGCTTCCCAGGCTAAACATGAGTTTGTTTAGAAATGCATGGTGCTTGAAATTTTTACTGTAACAGTTAAAGCACAGAAGTTATCAGGAGTATGAAAGGTATGTTTGCAGTATCTTCGTTGCCAGTTCTCTTACCTTTAATGATAATGTCACTGTATTTTACTTTCAGCTTGCAAGTTCTGTAGTTGTTTGAAATTTTAGCTGCAAGGTAACGCTTGAATCAGACCTTTTTTTATCTTCAGCGTTGCTGTTGATACAGTTTTTGTATATTGTGCATTATGACTTATCAGAAAGTTATTTAGAAAATTTATAATTTTGTAATGTTTTGTACTAGTCATATCTCAATTTTAATTGATGCTGGTTAAAATTTTGTGTGAGGAAATGAGACACAAACTCCAGTCAAAAGGCTTTGAGCACAAGAGTCCTGTATTGGCCAAGAAAACTGTTTGCACATAAAATGGCTGCTTGTTTTTCCTTGATGACTGTAATGATTAAACTACCCTTACCGTTGCGTATTTTGTTTGGGTGTTTTTTATCCTTTATCTATGGGTTGGTGTTTTTTTTTTTAGTTCCTGATCCTTGAACAGATATTAGTCTTCAAAAAAGTTGGTAACTGGAAAGGCTTCGTTGACCTGTTTAGATGGGAGTTGTGCCAGATTCATCAGGTGGAATTGTAGGGGTTTTTAGCAGAGTACTTACAAAACAAGAGTCCTCACAAATCACTGAAGGAGAAAAGAAAATGGGCAGCACTATATTAAAGGGTAAAACACTGGTCAAGCAACATGACAGTGATATTGAGACATTCTGCTTTTCTGGCTTACCATCAGTCTTAAACTTGGTCTTGTACTTGCTCTTTTTTTTTTTTTTTTTTTTTTTTCT